GCCTCTCTCAATTCACTATTGAGAGATTATATGGCAGTGTCACCCTTGTCTGATTGGATGCCCTTCCTATTCAACCGCGGTTCGGCGCGTTGACACTTGTGCCACGGCGGTGACTTCCCTTACGACACCTGCGTTTGACTTCTCAAGGCAATGTGTCGTTTTCTCGGGCTCGAGCCAGCAGTCAGAGCGCAGGCATTTTTACGACCGCCGCGACAAGGGAATTGAACCCGGGACCACTGGACCATTGCGACAGTTATATATATACATACATATATATATATATATATATATATATATATATATATATATATATATATATATATATATATATATATATACATATATATATATATATTTATATATATAAATATATATATATATATATATATATATATATATATATATATATATATATATATATATATTTATATATATATATATATATAATATATATATATATGTATATATATATATATATATATATATATATATATATATATATATATATATATATATATATATATATGTATGTATGTATATATATATATATATATATATATATATATATATATATATATATATATATATATATAAATATATATATATATATGTATGTATATATATATATATATATATATATATATATATATATATATATATATATATATATACATGTGTGTGTGTGTGTGTGTGTGTGTGTGTGTGTGTGTGTGTGTGTGTGTGTGTGTGTGTGTGTGTGTGTGTGTGTGTGTGTGTGTTTGTGTGTGTGTGTGTGTGTGTGTATGTATATATATATATATATATATATATATATATATATATATATATATATATATATATATACATAATTTCGAAGTTCTGGAATGCGTAGCGTCCCATTTTGTTCAACACCAGCTCCGACTACTTCTTATACGACGTCCCTTAAATCAGCTTCAAGCGCATTGTTCATAAGGATTTCGCTTCTGGGGACCAGACAGTGGCATTCTTACGCTACGAGGCGGATGCGGGAAAGGTTTAAGTCAAGCGGCGAAGAAACTGAAGCGCCTTAGTTTTTAGACTTTACTCGGGGACGTCATCCTTGTTCAGAGAGCTTTGGTGACGAGTTAAAATCGTAATATAATCTGGTTTTGTGTGTGTGTGTGTGTTTTGTGTTTGTGTGTGTGTGTGTGTGTGTGTGTTTTGTGTTTGTGTGTGTGTGTGTGTGTGTGTGTGTTTTGTGTGTGTGTGTGTGTGTGTGTGTGTGTTTGTGTGTGATTTGTGTTTGTGTGTGTGTGTGTGTGTTTTTTTTGTGTGTGTGTTTTGTGTTTTGTGTGTGTGTGTTTTGTGTGTGTTTTGTGTGTGTATGTATGTGTGTGTGTGTTTTGTGTTTTGTGTGTGTGTGTGTTTTTTGTGTTTTGTGTGTGTGTTTTGTGTTTGTTTGTGTGTGAGTGCGCGTGTGTGTGTATGTTTGTGTGTGTGTGTCATTTTCCATTATATCATTCTTAAGTGTTTCTCATTATCTTGTTTTTATCTCCCACTTCCTCTCGGCGAATAATCTCCATCCACAGATTCTATTTCTTTTATAACTGACCCTCAGCTTTTTTACAAGTTTTACAGCAAAAAATAAGAAATATTAAAAAAAAAACATCGCTTTCCTTTATCTACTGAGAGAAAAAAAATAAAATTTCTAAACAGAAGGATTAACAACAAACGATTTTTTTTTTGTACTTATATCTTTTGCTTTATTGCTTACAACTTGTACAAGTAATTTATCTATCAAAATAAACGAAAAACATTTGGGAAGAAAGATGTAAAAAATATATAGATTATTATCGACGAGAAGGAAAAGAGAGTCGTGGAAAATTTGCATGAGTCGCTTTGCACTGTTTGCAGGAGAGAAAGAGAGGAAATGAAAAGACGAAGAAAAATTGAAGAGAAAAAAATGGGAAATGAAAAAAAAAAACTGTTCGTCCTATAAGTATTTATAGCAAATAATGCAGTTAAGTTAGAGGATACAGGTGCATGCTTAATAGTAATGTATAAAAAAATGCATAAAAGTATACAGCCAAGGCAAAATATTTTGTGTGTGTGCGTGTGTGTGTGTGTGTGTGTGTGTGTGTGTGTGTGTGTGTGTGTGTGTGTGTGTGTGTGTGTGTGTGTGTGTGTGTGTGTGTGTGTGTGTGTGTGTGTGTGTGTGTGTGTGTGTGTGTGTGTGTGTGTGTGTGTGTGTGTGTGTGTGTGAGGGTTGTGTAAACGTCGGTTGTTACACTAATTGTGAAGTGATCAAATTATATATGTGTTTGTGTGCGTGGACAGATAGACAGATAAATATAGAGAAATATATATTAAACGGTAAATACCCCCGCGTTATAAGAGACCACATACTCAAGTAATTGCTTAATAAATCGTCTTTGTAAACCAAATTCACTTTCTCTTTCATCCCCGCCGTCTTTAAAGCATTTGATATTTCCCAATGGAATTTCAATCAACCAGCTGTTATCACTCAAAAAAGGACAGTGGTTTATTTATTTATTTTTTTTTTTTTAATATAAAAGTGATTTAGAGATTCAGATCTTAAGTTCCCTTTCTTGTAATACAAATATGTGTTTTCTTTAAGAATTCGAAAGGGAGGGGCTGTTTTTTTTTTCTTCTTTTTCTTATTCTTTTTCTTTAATTTTCTTTTCTTCTCTATCTTATTTATCTTTTCTTTACCTTTTTTGTTTATTTTTTTCCTCTTCTTTCTCTTCTTCCATTTCCTTTTTTTTCTTTTCTTTCATCTTCCTTTATTTTATTTGCCTTTTTATTTTGATTCTATTTTCCTTTCTATTTTGATTCTATTTTCCTTTCTATTTTGATTATATTTTCCTTTCTATCTTTATTTTGTTTTCCTTTCTATCTCCATTTTCTTTCATCTTGTTTCATTTCCTTTCATTTTATTCCAATTTTCTCTAATGACCTTC